AATATAGTAACTTAATTTAAGGTCCCTAACAGCAACCCAGTTGCGGGGTTATGCCTTTTCACAGGGTTGCGCCGCCAATCCCAGCAACGGCTCTGGTCTGCTCGCACGCCTGCCCTCCGAACACTTTTGTCGAGAGTGCTGTGCTTCCAAGTGTCTCTTTAAGAGGCTATCTACCAGGACCCTCCTTGTACCCTTAATTGGGGATATATGGTCCCTAATAGTAGGTACTTAGGCCCTAATAGAGGGTAGGAGGAGGGTCTAGGTATAAAGCCATATTCTCGATATTGAAGTCAGGGTATGATTGGGGTTACGCTTCGATAAGTCGATCGGAACCTAAGCACCTATTCCCCATCGGGTCCTTGCAAATCGCCTTAGTCTGTTTTGTACAATCCCATCGGGAACTGCAATAAACAGCAGTCATGATTGCCTGTTTGACGGCGTTCTGGAGCAGGCATGGGAGTTTCACTAAATGGGGGCCCCAATATAGGCCCCAAAATACTATATATAGGCCTTATTATTGATAGGGACCCCCAAAAAGGTACGCATACTGTTGGGACACCCCGTGTAGGGACAGGAGTCCTTGTGTCCAATGGGAAAGGACTGCATATCGGCTGGCCTCAGAATACAGGACAATTGCGGAGCATGTGCTTTAGAAACACACGACTTTTTTGCGCCTAGAACCACAGAAGAATTAGTTGTCCAACAGTCATGAAGTAGTGGACGCCACAAAGTAACAGGGCATATCGAAGGCTTACGAATCAGGTATCAGGCCGGGCATCTACCTTGGGTGTGTTCAGCATCGAACCCTAAACCCGAAACCCTAAAACCCTAAAGCCTAAACCCTAAAACCCTTAACCCTAAACCCCTAAACCCCTAGTTCTCCAGACCAACCCAACCTCTTGAATATCGAAAACCTGAAAGTCCGTATGATCACCGATTCCCTTTAGACCCAAGTACCTACAGCTAACCTAAACCCCAAAAGCATGTAAAATAATCGCCCTGAACCACTTAAAACAGCACAAGAGGCTATAAATCTACACACTTTGGGGGTCCAGGTAGTAGTAATTACCTCGTAATTGATAGGTATAACTTCAAACTCTGCACGTAATTGGGATTGCAGGTCCAGGTAGCATGTTTAAGGCACCCTATGTAAGGAAACTCCCATATCAATATGATCCATAGTCTAAACTCCTCGTATCCGCCTTAGTAATCCCTATGATGCTCCCGAATTTAGACTTTCGCTCATATGATCTGTAGTCTAAACTCCTAAAAGGGGGTTATATAGGGAACTATATAGGGGAGTATTATGGGGGTTATTAAGGGGGATACTAGGAGTTTAGACTATAGCTCATATGATCACCAATTTCAGCCTACAGAGCATGCGAGGTGGGCCATGGCAAAGAGAGCAGCGGCAATGACTCCAGGCATTGACTCTGGGGTTACAAAGGTTTAGGGTGACAAAGGTTTAGGTCTAGGGTTGGGTTGACTGTGCGGTTACATTGGCTTACTGGCTGTTAGTGGCTATGGGAAGATAATCCCTATATGACTCCTAAATATTGTATGCGCTTATTCCCTAGTACGAAGAAGGGATGGGAAGATAATCCCCTATAGATTCCCTATAGAATATATTCCCTTATTCCCTACCTACCAACCAGCAAGAAGGGTGTTTCCTTTTTTGGATGTTGGGGCGGGGTGGAATGTAGAAAGGCAAGGTTTGACTTATCAAGGTCTGGGGTTTCCAAGAGGTAAGGGTTTCGGGTTTAAGGTTTAGGGTTTAAGGAACTTTAGGGTTCAGGGTTTAGGGTTGAGGGTCTAGGCCCCGTTTTGGAGGAGTTCCTGTAGCAGGGATTATAGCAACTTAGGGGTTTCGAAGAGGAAGCCTGACATTTAGCAAACCGCATCTACTCATCCACCTTGGGGCTCCAAAAATAGGCAGTCTTTATTAGACCTTGAGCCCCAAAGTAGCTGTTTCTTGAGTCAAGGGCCCCCAAGGATAGGTCATTTAGGATTTAGGGCATCTTATGTATCGATCCCATGGCCATGTTCCAGAACCCTAAACCCTAAAACCCTAAACCCTAAAACCCTAAAGCCTAAACCCTGAAACCCTAAACCCCTAAACCCCTAAACCCTAAAAACCCTAAACAATAAAACGCTAAACCCTAAAACCGTAAATCCTAACACCCTAAAACCCTAAACCCTAAAACCCTAAACCCTAAAACCCTAACTTAAGCCCTACGTAAGCCCTAAACCCTAAACCCTAAAACGCTAAACCCTAAACCCTATAGGACTGGCAAGGCTTGGGGGTCGACTTTGTGGCAAGCTGGCATATCTAAGGGTGGCCCTGGGGCTCCAGTTACCTGAATAATGGCTTCTGGGTTCTATATACCCTAGAGTTACATAAACCTAGATAATGGCTTCTGTTTTCTATATACCTTAGTTTTGCATAGCCCAGCAATCTATGATTTAGGTACCTGGGAGCCATAGGTGGGACAAGATTACATGATCGTCGGGATCTACCTTCCCGCGAACTACCATGAACTCCAGAAGGACCCCCTTTTAGAAGAGCAGTAGTCTGCGCAAGGCTTTTCCTACCTTGCAATGTAATCGGGCTCGCTGTCTTTTGATGGTAAGGTTGTGGCTGGATGCCCACTTGTAGCTCTACACAAACTCCACAAACTCCTTTGAAGCGCTGTAATGGGCTAGAGAAGTCCATGGAATGCTTCAGCGGGTGTTCATTATTATTCTGCCGTTGCGGCTGAAAGAAGGCGGCCTAAGTTCTAAACCCAACGCCCCATACGATGCACCATATCCGCTGGTGTGGAGTGCTCACGCAGACCGTAACCGGCACTATATACGGTGGTGTTCATTGCTGGCTGTAGGGACATCTTGGGGAAGTCGGAGCAAGGGCCCCTGCTTCAAGCCATTTCAGGGGCCCTTTTTTTACATACAGTAGTTTTTTTTAACGCCGGGATGCCATCATCCGGCAACTTGCCAGGTTGATCAGGCCCCAAAACGGTGTAAGGAAGCTTGTGTGGTGGGTTTAGGGTTCAGGGTTTGATGAAGTCCCCCTATACACACCCAAGCAGATTACAATCCTAAGTATAGAAACAGAGGACTCCCTTGGTGCTGGACACCCCTACACCCTGAATAGGCAAATCCTTATGGTATCCTGACAAGCCCCGCAGCCCTCTCGATTCTCCAGGATGTCAATTAAGTCTAAATACTACACCCTCCATACACCCCAAGCACTAGATATACCCTAACTCAATGAAACCCAAGCCCTAAACAGCCTCCAAACCCCGTGACCCCTAAACCCTAACCCCTAAACCTTTTTTTTGTACAGGATGTCCACTCTGAAGCAGTTAGCCAAGGCTGCAGCAGGCTGACTTGCGGTGGCTTTTGGCAGGGCTTGCAGGGTTTATACAGACATTGTAACGTAAACGTAGCACAGGGCCCCTTTAAAGGGTGATTCGAGGAGACTCAGGGACATAGGGATATGTAGGATTTCGGGTT